TCGGCGTTTGCGGCCTCCAGGGCCAGAGAACAAAGGCGTCTCAGGTGAGATGAATGGGGGGTCTGCAAACGGAGCGTCCGTGTTGCAAAACTTGAACTCCAGAAAGAAGGGACGTAGATCAAATCAACAGTGTCACTTTTATGCTCAGGTGTCTCTTTATCTTGACAGAGCGGTACAACAGATGCATAACTGCAGTTGCAGCCTTAGTGCATTAGTAAATCTTCCACTCCCTTCTCCCCTAACTCGTGAACAAAACCTTGAGATACTTAAACTCCTCCACCTGGGGCGGCAAATTCTCCCAGATCTGAAGTGGGCACTCCACCCTTTTCTGGCTTAGGGCCATGGCCTCAGACTTTTAGTTGTTAATTCTCATTTCCATTGCTTCACACTCAGCTGCAAACCAGTTCAGTGCAAGCTGGAGGCCAACCTTTGATGAAGCCAACCACATTATCAGCAAAAAGCAGAGATGGGATTCTGAGGCCTGGTGAAGAGGTGGTCCAGCATTCCTCCTTTGGCCACTTGGCTACGTCAAGAAGTATTCTGTCCATTAAAACCTATGAACTGAGTCAGTGACAAATGACAGACCTGGTGGAGTCCAATACCCAGAGGAAACAAGTGTGACAATCAAGGATGTGTTTAACATCCTCAGTGATGATTCATCCCCAGACTCTTCCTCTACAAAAGCATGTGCGTGGGATTGAAGAGGTCCTGGAAGTATTCCTTCCACCACCCTGACTATAACCTCAGTTGAAGTCACGAGCACCCCACCTCCACTGTGAGTAGAGCCCTGCTTTGCTCTCCTGAGTCACCTGACAGTTTGCTAATTGATTTTAGGCAGATTGAAATTCTTTTTCCATAGCTTCACCAAACTCCTTTTGGTTTTGCTTCCACCACTGACAGAGCTACATTCCACTTGGCGTGCCATTAGCTGTTAGCTAACTCTGAAGTCCCACAGGCTAACCAACCTTGGACTTTTTCAACTTAACAGCTTCCTTCACCTGCAGTGTCCACAATCTGCTTCAGTGATTACAACCAAAACAATCTTGTTGCGACAGCTGATCCATTCAGTCACCTCAGCAAATGGAGGTCCAGAGTTGACAGAAGACTTTAGAAATGAAGTAAAACAATGAGACCAGAAGGAGTCTGGACTGACTACAAATTTAGCAACATACCACTGAGTAGAGCTCCTGAGTAAGATGTGTGTTCTGTTCTGCAGCCTTCATTTGAGGCTTTGTTATGGAGATCTGTCTCCATGCGCTAATGAACTACTTTAAACCACATTTTTGTATTGTATCAGTAATTATTGATTTCTGCTTATAAATACAGCTCAGAGTCATCGGATTTTCATCACATCAATTCAACAGAATTGCAATGATGAAGGTAAGTGAAATCTTTAAATTTCTAACTGAATATATATCAGTCCTATAGAGGTTTTGCAGACACGTGACCGCTTACAACTTGTCGGCCATTTTGGACATGTAATAATCCCAAAACTTAATGTAACATTATGTAGATGAGATAAACTATGAGTAAACAAATTAGTGTGTAGACACTCTCTGAGGAAGCAAAGCTGTCATGGTCCCGGGACTTCTAACCAGTGTTTTGTGTTCTCTTGTATTTTTGTCATTTGGTGTTACGTTTTAGGTCCACTGTTTATTCTAAAGGTTCCTAGGTTATTCTGTTTAGATGTCGTTTATTAGATTTCCCCTCGTGTCTTTTCCCCGTGTCTCCCTCTGTGTATCTGAGTTCTTATGCCTTGTTTCCCCCTGCTTGTATTTTATTCCGTGCCTTTCCAGCCCATTATATCCGTGTTCTCCCCATGTTCTCTCCCCCTCCAGTCCGCGTCTAGGTGTACTTCCTGTTTTACTTTGATAGTCTCCTGTCGGTGTACGTCATGCTGTATTTGCTCCTGCACCGTCTCACAACTATCAGTGTTCCCCGTGTGCTCCCACCCCCTCATTATCCTTCAGTGTATTTATGTCTGCGACCACGTCTCACTCAGTTCTGTGTTGCGTCCTCCCTCATAGTTGTGTGCTGTGTTTCCTTGTGCGTTAGCTTTAATATTTCCCAGTTTAGTTTTTGTTTTGCCGTTCTGTAAATGAAGCGTCATTTTGAGCTTAAGTTTTGTTTCCCGTGAGTTTGCATTTGGGTCCTCGCCTGGCTGCAGACAGCCGTTTCATGACAAAAACACTTTCCTGACTAGCATCTCGCTCGTAATTTGAGGCGACTGTTGTTGTGGTTTGGCGCTGTATAAATAAAACTGAATTGAATTGAAAATTGAATTTTTTAGCCCCAGCTCTTGTCAGCGGTCCAGCATGTCTGATCTGCTGACAGTAAATAACTGTGACTCATGTAAACTTTCTTATGTTAGAACCCTAACGTCAGTTCAGGAGTGATCACTACCGCTGATCGTGTTCAATATGGCGGACAGCAGTTGAGCGACATGTGCATGATGTCACATGCAGAACCTCTATAGTTTGTGTCTGTGTGGCACCATCACAGTCTGACAGTCACAAACGTTGCAGCTCTACATGAAGCTTTGACTGAAGTAAAATAAGAACACCTCCTCTGTTCCAGCTGCTGTCAGCCTTCATCCTTCTCCTGCTTCCTCTGCTGACCGGCTGTGAACCTTTCATCCTTCCACTGGACTGCAGCGATGTCTATACCCAAGACACCAGTCGAACCAGTGGCGTGTACACCATTTATCCCATTGGAGCCACGTCTGCTGTCCTGGTAGACTGGAGTTATTTACTCTAATGATAAGCTGATTTTTTAATGTTGTCATTTTCAGACCATCATGATTCATCCAAAGATGCAGAAGATGCATTTCCTTTGTGTTTTCGTTGATTCATTTGGTTCTTCCGGCCAAAAATGCACCAGAATCATTACATTTCATTCTCCAGACCAGTGGTTCCCAAACTTTTTTGTTAGGCACCTCTTTGTTTTTCCCCCCCACCAGCACAAACACATCCTCCAACCATGCACACCCACCATATTTAGTTTTCAAACTTCATTGCAGATTATTTCACACCTCAAACAATGTAAACAATGAAACAAATAAAAGTAAACTGCAATAAATTACAGGTAGCAATAAAATAAACTCCTACCTCTTTTAAATAACAGAACAACGTAGCATCTTTACGGTGTAATTGTTTTAGGTGTAGTTTTTTTGTTTTTTGTTTTTTTACTGTGTGAGAATATTCAACATAGCTATCAACACATTTTTCAAAAAATTAGTTTAAAAACATAACAACTGTGGGATGCTGTTTGTTTGTTGTTGATTTTGATTTGGACAGCCCACTGCGTGCTCCCAATGCAGGGAAACCAAATTCTGTCGGGGATACCTACCTTGGCACCACCATTGTGCAGGTGAAGCCAAAGGCAAGATATGCTTAACCATGTGTTCTAGTCTTTGGCTGGAAGGAAGTTGGTTTGGAAGCATATTTGGAGATGGTTTATCTTCTGCTTGGCTTTTGTGTGGGAGCCCCTCTGCTCTAGACAAGACCTCCTCCAGCCAACCTGCAGGATGTTCACTCACCACCAGGGGGCACTTTGATATAGTGTATCACATGTTAATATGTATTATCGTATGTGTATTATTATTGTATTTATCTTTCTCTATTTTCTAATGATTGTGTGTGTGTGTGTGTGTGTGTGTGTGTGTCTGCAGGTATACTGTGACATCGACTCACAAGGACAGTGGACGGTGAGTATCTGAACTCCCAGCTTCATGTCTGGTTGTCTGAAGTGCTTAGACTGCTTAGTGATGGTATGAGAGCCCAATAAGAATCGATAAGAGAATCAAAATGAAGGAATTCTTATGAATTCCCATCCCTACCTACTAGGAATGGATCAATCCTGAGCTAAATGATTGGATCGGATATCAGGGAGAAATAAAAAAAAAGTAACCCGATCCATTAAGTATCAGGAAAGCACCTCACCAAACTTGCGGCATGTTGTAACCCAGCTCATGATCTTAACACGTCAGAGCAGTATGCGTCACGTAATAGAGCAGCTGTTGTGTGCAAGACCTCTCAGCGGTCTGGAGTTCACACTGAAATCCTCACTACGTGCTGCCAAACTGGCATTTCATCTACGAGCAAGTGATCCCAGAGAAGTAAAGCAGGTGTGCAAGTTCATCTCGAATGTTTGTAAAGCAATCCCATGTTTTTTTTTTTGTTTTTTTGTTTTTTTGTGTCCCGTTTGGATCTTTAGCCATCAGAATTGTTGTCTTAAGGCCAAGAAAGATGCCAAGCAGATTTATTTTACCAAGTGGATCATCATGGCCTTGCCATATTGGTCCATTTGAAAGCAATCCCATGGTAAGCTTAACAACTGATATATGGAGCTCGGACTTCTGTGCGTTGTCATTGCTAAGTCTGACCGTACAATGGATAGGCTCAAGTTTTACTTTGAAAAAAACTGCAGGCAAAACAGTTTCATGGTTCGAAAAAAAAAAAAAACTAAGAAAAACACTTTTTTCCATACTTGTGTTAAGTTTTGTATAGAAATTACACAAAATTCAGTCTCAAGTTAAATGTGATAGAAACAGCTCACACTGACATCCATCTTGTTAAAAGATGAGTGTCGTGAAGCTGTGTTTGCATTTATTTGCACTGCTTTCCAGGAGGACCCAAAATGCAGGACTCACGAAGGCAGAAGTAACTCAAAATACTCAGCTTTATTGCTGGGAAGAAACTGAACAAAACACTAACTAGACTGGGAGAATGGAACAAACTAAACAGGTTGGTAGGCTGGCAAACAGAACACAGTGAAAGAGAGACGCGACAATGAGCAGGGAGAGACGCAGACACTCAATAAAAGAGGTGAACAGAGCTAAGAGGAAACAGCTGGGAGACACAGCTGACGCTGATTACCCTGACGAGAGAGGGAGAGCCCAAAGCTGAACGCACAGACCTACAAAGTAAAACAGGAAGTACACGACAGACAGAGATCAGACACAGAACTAAACAGACGCAGACTCATGAGCAGACAGAATAACACCATGGACAGACAGAAGGAACACAGAGAAGAGGGAGCACAGAATAAACACTGGGAAACCAAATAACAAAGCTTAAAAACAAGAACTCAGGAAGTACTGCCAAACTAGGAAGCCGAAATACTAGGACAGAAGCCAAAACAAACAGTCATACTTTATAACAGAGTCAAAAGTAAAAGTACAAAACCAAAAACACTGGGTCACCGATCCAGGACCGTGACACAAATACTTGCAGGCTTTTACCAACAAGTTGTCCTTGAGCCAGAAACTAAGACAATATTAATGCAGAGGACAGAAAGTTCAAATTCCAAAAAGCTGCTGTTAAGCAAAAGCACACTGATGGCTTCATGTATTCTAATTAGTTTTAAACTATCAACAATACACAGCACAACTTTACAAATAAACAACAGGGCAAACTTGCTCTTGAACTTGATTCCAGCCAAATGCTTCATATTTTTTATCTCCAGAAGTTGATTCTGTTCATCTGGACGTAGCGTTTTGTGGGAGAAACGTTTCATCATCATCATCAGGTGACGTCTTCAGTCTCAGCTGACTGCAGGTTTCAATCTTATAAACAGTACATTTGCATAATGACTGAAACCAGCCCACTGAAGGAACAATGGGCTGGGAGGTCAGTTCCTTAATCATAATTATGCAAATTCTCATGAACATTGATCAAAGACCACTGATCAATGGTCATGAGAATCAATGATCCCGCATCGGTGGGAGCTCCAAGACTCTCCTAAGTAGCTCCCCCGACGAGCCCTGATCAGCGGTCCCCGGACCGGTACCGGTCCGTGAGTCGTTTGGTACTGGGCCGCGAGAGTTGAGGCTCAGGTGTGAAATGTATGGTTTTCAGGGTTTTTATCGGTTTTCAGCGTTATTTTGTTATCGTTTTGATCATTAACTCTGTTTTCCTGGGTCTTTTCACGTGTTATGAATAACTCCTCTTTTTTTCGGTACCGGTACTAGTTTTATTTTGTTGTATTTATCCGCGACATCTTAAAGGCCGGTCCGTGAAAACATTGTCGGGCATAAACTGGTCCATGGCGCAAAAAAGGTTTGAGACCGCTGCTCTAGCAGGGCCACACCCACCAGGCCTGAAGGCACCTGTAAACAAGTGTTCAGACACATACACACACACACACACACACATATCTACAAACATGGGGAAGAGGGGCAGCAACACCAAAAATACATATAATATAACAAGTCCATAACTACTGACAGGCACAGGTCTCATAAATATTATATTTTAAAAGACAGTTTTAAAAAAACAACACAGTTTCTTGTTTGTTTGTTTGTATTTAATGACAATGTGCTCAAATTATTTTTCTCCTGTGGAGATTTATTTATTTAAAGAGCAACATGGACATTTAAAAGAGAGGACGTGTTTTTCTAATTATGTGTAAGAAAATAAATGCTACCAAAAAAACTGCACAGTCATGGCTTTTTCTTTTCTTTTTCTTTTTTCAGAATACAAAATTTTAAGGCAAACAATACTGAAAGAAAATTTCAAACCTTTTTAACTATGGTGTTTAACAAAAACAAGCAAGCAAACAAGAAATAAATAAATAAGCAGATGTTAGAACTGCAGCTAAATAGTTTTCAGATGGCCCAACCGTCTAAACCCAAACAGAGACCTAGAATGTGCCTATCTCTGAAGCATCTGATGTTTACATGTGCTGTGCGTGACAATTTTCTTTGCCCATATTTGACAAATACTTTTCCTGCCTCCTCCCCAGGTGTTCCAGAGGAGGTTGGACGGCTCGGTGAACTTCTACAGACCCTGGGATCAGTACAAGAGGGGCTTTGGTAACGCTGCTGGAGAGTACTGGCTCGGTGAGGAATGGGTGCTGTTTATCAGTCATTAAGTTATCTGTTCATAAAGTAGACCCTCTTATGGGACTTCAGGGGTAGTGGTATAACCATAAAAACTTGATCAATGAGTTTATGATTCTCTCCAGGTTTGGAAAATGTCTTCTACCTGACACAGAGAAAAAGGTACGAGCTGATGGTCAACATGGAAGATTTTGATGGAAACAAAGTGTTTGCTCGTTACTCCTCGTTCTCCATCGATGGGGAGTCTGACGGCTACAGGCTGAATGTGTCTGGATTCACTAATGGAGGGGCAGGTGGGTGAATACATATTTAAGTAAGTTGAAAGTGACATTTTGTGCTGGATTCTTGTGGAGAGTCTGTAGGAACAGCAGGTCATGAATCAGTGCCGGGGAAAGGAGCTCAAATACAGGAGGCTGGTCCAAAAATAGTCCATTTAGATCACTCCCAGTACACCTGCTGATCAGTCTGACTGGGATTAAAGGTAATGTTGGGATTGTTCGTCTGTGTTTCTGTAGGAGATGCCTTGAGTTATCACAACGGACACAAGTTCACTACATTGGACAAAGACCAGGACGGCGCTGCAAGGAACTGTGCACAATCATTTCTGGGGGCGTTCTGGTACAACAGCTGTCACTATGCAAACCCTAACGGGGTTTATCGTTGGGGAGCTGATGGCACTATCTTTGCTGTTGGAGTGGCCTGGCACCAGTGGAAAGGTCATGATTACTCTCTGAAGACCATCAGCATGAAGATCCGTCCTGTGCAGTAAATCTGCAGGACAAACACATCTGTGACATGAATATTTAACAGCACCAGTCAAAGCAAAGATCGCTTTCGTTTGATTATGAGAGAGAGAAAGATTAGAGATCTTTTTCTTTAAACCTGTTTATGTCCTGTAATGTTACATGATGTGATCTCCTCTGAAATGTTGTCATCAATAAAGCTGCACCAAAAAATTTGACTTTCTCTTTCTTAAGCCCCTCCTTTCTCTCTGAGCTTTTCCACCACTCCATCCCAGCAGACACTCAGTAAGAAGCAGAGTCTGTTTTCCTACCATCAGCTGCACTCGAGCTTTATTACAAGACTGAAATAATCCCTTCGTTTCTACTCTCAGTCTGAACCAGCTGCTGTTGCTCGCTGCCTGAAGGTAAGAAGGTAAGAACCTGCTGCCCCAGGTTGGGGGGGCGCCAGAGGGGGGATTCGCCCAGGGCACCAAACAGGCTAGGGCCGCCACTGCAGCTGAGTGTCATGGTCACTAATGTCACGTAACTTTGCCAACCTTTGGCCAGAAATAACGTTTTCATGTTCTTTGTTATGGAACATTTGTATCACTACATAAATCATTGGGATAAAACTCAGTACTTATTTTCAGAGGTTTACTTTTCAGGGCCTTCCACCATTAAAAAATTATCCACCACCACACTTCCACATTGGTCTGTTAAGTTACTGTGTCCCCAGAATCTTTCTGATTTTATCTTGTTTAATTTATTTGATTTTAGTTTTTGCAGCATGCTTTCTATTTCCATTTTCTTTTTTCTATTTTCTTTTCTTTTCGTTTCTATTTCCATTGTGTTTTCTGTGCTTTTGCCACGTTTTTCTGTTTGCTGGTGTTTTCTTAAGTTCTAGTCTGTTTGGTCTCTCAGAGTAGAAAGTACAGATATTTGGTTAAAAATGTAGGAGCAAATGCAGTACAAGTACTTGGTGAAGCGCAGGAGGTGGAGCAGGTTACCTACCAATCGGAAGGTTGGCGGTTTGATCCTCTTGTGCCCATTGTTTGGTTCAGTCTCATTCTCTGATATTTCAGTGGAAATGTTCTTAACCTGTGCAAAAAGAAAACAATTCCTGAAACATACATGCAGGGCAGTTTTCTTTCCAGCACTGTGCGTATGTTAGTGAATTAGAGTCAGGCATTCTGTGGTCTTGGTTATACTCAGATTTCCCCTTTCTTTTTTTGTGAACCTCTTTTACATTGCAGTATATCAACTACACATGAGGGACCTTAACTTGCACATTCAGTAGTGCAGTTAAGAATTAATGCAGTTTTGCTTTGTGTCAGCAACTTGTGTGAAAGTAGCGACTGTGACCAGTTTTATATGAACTACTATAGAGAAAGGTTGGGTCTGACGTTTTTGGTCATTGAATTATTCACTTTTCATAAAATCGCTGGCTACATTGTTGGCAAGTATCCATAATTCTCTAAACAGAAAAGTGGAGGCTAAGTGTGGAAGTCAAAATATCACCTAATCCAAACTGCAGCACAGTGATGTGGGGAGTAGTGACATTGCATCATAGTAAGAAGGTCCTGGACTCAAATCTACACTGTTGGCTGCAGCATGCTTAGCAAAAGCAAACATGGTGTACATGAGACGAGGGACTATCAAAATAAAACAGGAAGTAACTGATACCAAGATCAGGACTAATACTGTCAGGTTAAGGCTGTGTGCAGGTAGGAGTGGAAGTAGAAGGACCCAAAGTGCAGACACTCGGAGGCGGAAAATGGCTCAAAACTCAGCTTTTATTGCTGGATGGCAAAAAGTGGCAAAAAGTAACAGAAATCCAAAATCCAAATAAACTTACATGACCAGGCAAACGGAACACACAGCATAAATGAGAGTAGATCACGACACAGACACAAAGAAACACGGGGCTTAAATACACAGAGAGAGCAATCAGGGAATGGGTAACAGGAGGGAAACACAGCTGGGGCAAATCAGGCCTAACGAGACAAGGGGAAGCAAAACCAGACACATTAACATCAGACATGGACTTTCAAAGTAAAACAGGAAACATAACACAGACTCACAGGCAGGCACTATAACAAAGGGAACAGAGACGTGGGACCAGGGCAGACACAGACACTGACTGGATGTGGGGAGACAGCAGACAGGGGAGACAGCAACTATGGAACACAGACAGAAAACCAGAACACTAAAACTCTAACCAAACCCCACCCAGAGAACCTAAACTAAGAATGATCCTAAAACCCATAAAGCAAAGCTAGAAAATAATGAAATAACAAAATCAAAGAACCAAAAACACTGGGTCAACGACCCAGGGACCCTAACAAATACATACATTTGTGGTGTCATTAAAGTAACAGACAGAAAAAAAGAAGAAATACTTTTCTATTTTTGCATTTAGTTTGAATAGAAAAAAAAGTTGAATCTCATCTTTAACCCGTGTGTTTAGGTTTAGGAGCCATAGCCTCAGGTATCATGGAAGCGGCTGCTCTGGGTTGACCTTTCACCTTAGGGATGCTCTATGATGCCCAGAGAGACAAACTGATCCCAGGCAAATGTCCAAACTTACCAAACAACTCTTTGTTTTTCTGACAGATTCAGATTATATTCAGATTTCATAGAAACCTTAACTTCCCACATAATTATTATTTTATATATTGTTTGTACAGCTATTATTATGAGTTATTATTAGTTATTGCTGACATTAACCCAAACTAAAATCTTGAAAGAATAAACAGGAAATGTCTTGCTTTCATTCCTTCACTGTCACTAAGCCACTTTTAGCTTGGTATATTTCTCCTTTAACAAGGCGAGCAGTTAACCAGGATTAAACCAAAGATTAATTAGTGAAACGATTCAAAACTAATGTAAAACTAAATGTTTTCATACATGATAAACTGCAACACAAAACTATTCATAAAGGGGAACAAACAGCCTCTACATGTACTTTTACAACAATTTATAAATAATTAATTTAATAATAATAACTATAATAACTATAATATCACACCAGTACAAACAGGTCAAAGCAGCCCCACTCCATTTTGACCCAGAGTTACATGAATGTACGGACTCCCACTTTGAAACTGGACCTTGACAAATCAGAAGAGCCAGAAAACTCTTGTGGTTGTTGTTAGGTTTTGTATTGTTGAGTGTCATTTATGCTTAGAAATATTTAACCATATATTCTTAGAGGTGTATAATCAATTGTGTAGTGATAGGATGTGTGATCTTTAACAGGCTGCAAAGGCTTGGTGTGTATTCCACACTGGAATGCACACCTACATCCTGGGAGCATGAGAAGAGGTCGTACCTTGTTTTATTGTTTTATGGCAGGATAAACGTGGCTGTGTTTGTTTTAGGCTAAGTGCCTTTTGTTTAGATGACACTCTGACACCCCCCCCCACACGCACACGGTACTCTTTGTATGTAGACGTCCGTCGTATGTTAATGACCCTATGCATATTCATGTAACCACAATAAAAGGAGTGCTATGGGGAACCTGGCTGAGAGTCTGACGGGGGTCAAGTGGTGGAACGACACTTGGCTCCAGGCAGGTCTCCCTCATGCATGAGTAACACGAAGAACTTTGCCTACTTGGTGTTCAATGCTTTTGCTGTGTAATTATATTGTCTTCAACGTTCCAGCGAATAGGTTCAAGCTACAAACCTATCAGTTTGTATATCATGTATATCTCATGTATATCTCATGCACATATCTTTCCACGTAGCACTTTTAATTCTTATCCCTACTTTTATTTTTTCATGTCTATTTAAGTGTTATTTATGACACCATGTTTGCACTGAAGCACCGCAGCAATTTCCTAATGTTGTAAACCTGCTCAACATTTGGCAATAAACCCCATTCTGATTCTGATTCTGATTCTGAGTTGTAGTTTGTAATGTGTGTTCTGGTTCAGCCATCCGGGCACAATAGTAAGAAAACTCTGGTATTCTAAGGAGCTTGCAAAGAAAAGCGTCTGGACTTCTTTAAGTTGCTTGAAGATGTTTCACCTCTCATCCGAGAAGCTTCTTCAGTTCAAGAATGGGTGTAGGTCACAATCAGCCAAGGTCTCAGGGGAGCTTCAGATGAGCTCATGTGATCATCATAGCAAAAAGGAAAGTTTGAAGCCTAATTTTAAAATCAGAGATCATGTCTGTGTCACGGACTGGCTGTGCTCAGCAGTAGGATAGGAACCAAAAGCAGACTCACCGGCAGGATATACACTCAAAAAACACAGCTTTGCTGCTGACCCAAGTAAAAGACAAAAAGTAAAAGACAAAAAGACCTCCTGACCCAAGGTGTGATACTGGGTGTGGGCCCCAATCAGCCAGGGTTTCGGGTGAGAGTTTTGAGATCCCTTCCCAGACGCCTTAACGCCCACTCACATCCTGGGCCATCTGATCTCAGGAATTCGCATGATAAGGTGGGGCCAGGTTTCACAATGAA